GGGAACCAATCCCAAGCCAGGCTGTACCATAACGGCGTGCGGGCGGGTGCATTGGGCTTGATGATTAACTCCATCATCTTAGGACTCACTTCGCTGGCGTTGGAGCCTGTGGGCCGTGCGATCGTTGGGGTCACCAACTTGTGGGGCCTAGTGAATGTCATCTTGTGCTTGTGTTTGGCGTCAACGGTGGTGATTACGAAGATGGCTGAGGCTCGGAGATCTTTCCATGGACCTGACTACACCCTATCGGCACCAGTGAACATCAAGGTCTCTGCCCGGGCCGTCTTCGGAGTCTTGGGTGTATCCCTTGCGGTAACTTAAAAATAAAAAGAAAAAAAAATAACCTAAGTTGAATTTTAAGACGAAATTATACTTCTCGTCTCATTAATTTAAAGACTTAATTTAATAAATAATTTAATAATTTTTATCTTTTTATTTTATTTATTATTTTTAAATATTTTTAGATTTATTTATAATTTTCTACTTTTATTTTAATTTGCTAACTTTATAATAGCAATTTTATTTCGTTTGATTAAATTGATCTTTATTTATATTTTTTTTGTAAATTTTTATTTTTTAAAATTAATTTTAAAATAAAACTAATTTTGTAGAGATGACAAGTTCATTTTTATTGTTAGAGGAACTGTAACATTTATCATATATTGTTTTAGTTTTTTCTTTTCACCATTTCTTTTATGGTAGAAATCAAAATTATTAACATATTTTAATAATTTGTACAGTTTGTCATGGACTGTTTTGCTAGCTGGACTATTTTTCTTTAATTTTAATTTAACTTTTCTATTATTTTCTATTAAAACTAATAAAATTTTTGTACGGTATATTATTTTAAAATATTTTACAAAATCTATAAATTATTTAGGAAAAAAAACTAACTTTCTAAATTAAAATGAAATTAAGCTAATAATTAATAAACCAATCATTGAATTAAACCTAATTTAAAAACAAAATGATTTACATGTCAAGCTGTTGTACATTAAAATTATAGTTTAAAATTATAATTTGACTTACAATATTAAAATATTTTTAATAAAATGATTTGTTATACCATTTCATCAAAAGTATTCTAGTCATTTTATATGTTAGATTACACTTTTAATATATATTCTTGTATGTAAAGCAAGAATTCCTTAATTTTATTCATATAATTAAGAGTAACTTTTATTCATTTGTGCACATATAACAAATCCTGCTTGAAAATAAAATCTTATGATGAATTTAAATTTCTATAATAAAACATGAAGTACAGTTAGATAAAGATAGTTTTTAATATCAAGAATTTTTTTTTTCATTCAATAATTTAAATTATATAATTTAGATCACATAACATTTGTTTAAAATTTAAACATATAAAAAATTATTCTTGTGAAAAGGATGACAAAAAATAATAATAATAATAATATGTTGGGGGTGTTGCTTTATGTAGGTGACATATAGTATCCCTTTTGCTTTGGCATCAATCTATTGCTCGACAACTGGGGGAGGTCAAGGGCTCCCCCTGGGAGTGCTAAACTTGTCCATTGTTATTCCACAGGTAAAGGGTCCATCATATCCAAAAAAAGTCATGATGAAAAAGAAGTTTGTGTGTTCGGTATCTTTCATTTTCCCTATATGAGAAAATCACCACATGTGTGTGCCCGCGCGTATATATGTATATGACACATGCACTATTAGAGAATGTATTATTACTTGGCTTGTTAATTTGTGTTACGTGTATGCCAGATGTTTGTTCGGTAATCAGTGGGCCGCTGGATGACGCATTTGGTGGTGGTAACTTGCCAGCCTTCGTGTTAGGTTCGATTGCAGCTGCATTTAGTGCATTGATGGCCATTTTTTTGCTTCCAAAGCCTCCCAAGCAAGTTTCTCTTGCTTCTGGAATGGGTGGTGGGCACTGAGCCAAAGGCTTTCTTCTTCTACTTTGCTTAACTACCTTGCTTTTGCTTTTTGTCTTTAACCACCATGGTCTTTAATCTTCTTTTCCTCTTCTCTTTTACTTTGGCCTTCATAAGGGTTGAATGCACTTCTATGCATTCTCTTTCATATTCTCTATGCTGGAGTTTACCATACATGTATGCATATATATATATATGGTATTTGCTTTATTGATGCATATGATCAATAACTTATTCCAGCTGTTTAACTTAAAATTTCCATTTTTTTTTCTTTTTTGCCCTTTAAAATTGGTTAAGTACCCAAAAAAATTGAAAATCTAAACTTGATATATATTATTTTATTAATTATAAAAGAACCGTTAATTAACTCGGATGAATTGAACCTATGCGACTAATAATTAAGATCAAACTAGCAGTGCAAGCTCAATAAACCTTTAATCAGAAAATTAGAATACCACCGAGCCTCAAGGCCATCCAGTAGTCAAAAAAGCTCACAATAAATATATAATCACATTGTAATTTAAGAGGGTGAAAACCTTCAAGCATGTCCTCAAATTTTTTTCTTACTGTCACAATTGATTCCTTGATTCCTTGGAGTTTTCTTTTACTGTAAAAAAAGCCCCTCAAGTTGCAGAAATCGGTCCAAAGTAGATGGTGAATGACATGTGAACTATCTTCCATATATTGGTGCGTCGTTAAATCCATGCTGACATAATGTGATAAGGAGAAATGTTTATTGGCCATACTTGTAAAAGAGTTAAGAAAAAATTCTTAAGATTTTGTTATTTTAATAAATTTTATTAAAAGAGATTAAATATCCTAATTGTAAAATCATGCATTAGACTATTTTAGTATTTTCTCATAATAATTTTTTTTAAACAACATAATTTTTTAGTATTTTTTGACTTAATTTTTTTACATGTTTAATTAATAAACACTAATCTCATGTAACAATTCATAAAATCTCATATAAGATACTCTTAGTTTAACAGTATTCTTCCATGAATCATCCCATGTAAGACATGTCACTATGAATGAAAGTGAGAATTTGACATAAAGTTTCGAGTTGAAAGAATGAAGTTGTTAAATTGAAATTATCTCCACCATACTATACAACATGTACCATTTGCATGAAAAATGTGCTTATATGCATATGTACATTTGCACTGAGGAACAGCCTCAGCACATAGACTCATAAATTGCATGTGACAATTATCAAAGCAAAATTTAAAGGGAAAAGTTTTAGTTCCAACTACAATGGAAGAAGTTAAGCCGAGAGAAAGATGAAGTTTGGCACTAATAATCAATGCAACCTCAGTCATTTCAAGAGCAACCCGAACCACATCGGCTTCTTCAAGTTCTTGTACGCAGCCGCAACTTCACTGAAGAAGGGCATCGCCGATTTCTGCTATTTGGGGTGATCGTCTATGTCATCCCTGGTGAATCACTGCTCGCCGACCGTGTAATGGCGATGATGACGGGAAACCGAGGATGATGAAGTCGATTAGGAAAGCAGAATTTGAGACTGGCGTATGCAGTAGACGTTGCAGGCTTTTGTTTCTGTGAAGGGAAAGATTTTCTGGAGCTTTGGGGAAAAAACCGGCGGCGTAGCCCAGGACGTTTTCGATCGCCATGAAGGAGAGCCAG